GGGTTCGAATCCTACTGTGGGGCGTGGAGACCGGTCCTTCGGATGACCGAAGTCCCGTGTCGCAATAGGTGCTAGCACAAAAACGATCTTTCCTGCTCAATGACCTTGAGTGCCGAACATAAGACAAATTTTGCAGCTCTCCAAAGGCAAGTGGTGGCGTCTCCAAATGAGTGGAAAATTTTTGAGAGGGACGTTAAACAATATACAATCAATCAATCAAACCAATAAATCAATTAATATGTAATAAAACAGACACATACAATTAACTGCTGATCAGTTATACAGAGCATTACTCCCCATACATTTGTCTTGTGCCAAACATTCAAGTTTCAACGAGTTTCATCATTTAATCCAGTACTATTTATCAACCCAGCAAGCAACAACTATGCTAGTAACAAGTATAAATATTCAATGATGCAGACAGTGAATATTTAAACTTATCAATTTATCAACTGAAAATCAATTATACTTCTCATTTCATATCATGCTAATAAGCATTGGTATCTAAGACTGGATTAAGGAAAATCTTACTTCTCTAAACTGTATTATTTTTTCTCCTTTTATAGGGTACAAATATCAACTTTCGTAATATCTTTTCTAAGACTTCCAAAGACCTTAAATCTTACAAAGATGATTAAAATGAAAATTGTTGCATGAAAAAAATTCATTTTCAAGCTTAATTTTGGTGCATTTCAAATTAAATGTTAATTTTTGGAGTTATCCTTCCTGGCTGAGGATCGGATATCCTTAAATAAAGTATTATTATTATTATTATTATTATTATTATTACAATAAGAAAATAATCAAAATGTTTTTCAAGAAAAAGTAGGAGAATGGATCATAGAATTTTATAAACAAAGAACGTAATTAAAAATAATTTCAAATCTAAGAAAAAAATTCCTTTCGACGTGTAGGATGAATATTAAAACAATAAACCATGTGACACAGATTATTTTACCTGGTGAGGGTAGAACTTTACCATAGGTTCAGAGTATTTACACAGATACAGTTTTTAAATATCTTTCAAAACCAAAAATACCCAAAATAATTATTTTTAGATGTATTGCCCAATCAGAAAAACAACATAAATAATTATAAGTCTAAGAAACAGGATATTAAAGATTTGATAATGCAGAACTTATAAAAAGGGGAAGGGGCTTTATGGTCTACTTTATATATAGTTACAGTCGCTATTATAGTTGAAGTTATCTGCTTGTAAAACCGACGCACCTTCTTCATAAAAACACTTCCAAAATTATAATCTTTTCACAATAAGCCAATGAATAATAGTCTTTTCTTGGACCCCCAGAACAACTTTTTAGGACAATTTAAATTACATTAAATTAAAGAAAAGTCAAGTGTCCTCTCCACATGCAATTAAATTGGAATCAGTATAAATTCAACCGCAAAAAACATAAGCAAGCCTCTCTGTGACCTCTATCATTTAGTTGTCAAAAAGATAGTCGCCAGTGCAAATATTATTCGCCAGGTAAATTTTTCTTAGACACCAAATGTTAAAACATATTATAGAGACATGTCCATTGCTAAGTTTTAGTACTCTATTCTGCTCTTTATTTTAAAAAAAATGAAAATGTTTCTAGTTCAGCAATTTGACGATCACCAAATCAACTTAATATGGTGGCCAATTTGGCGACTTAATTAAAATTTTAGGCGCCATAGCTACTTCGCCAGTAGAGCTCTGATATGTTAAGTCGAATTCTTCTGATTCTTCTGTAATAAAACGTCGTCCGCGTGGCGCAGTGGTTAGAACGTCTGCTCTGTATGTAGAGTCGCGAAGTCAAGAGTCAATCCTTACGTCACGGGTTCGAATCCTACTGTGGGGCGTGGAGACCGGTCCTTCGGATGACCGAAGTCCCGTGTCGCAATAGGTGCTAGCACAAAAACGATCTTTCCTGCTCAATGACCTTGAGTGCCGAACATAAGACAAATTTTGCAGCTCTCCAAAGGCAAGTGGTGGCGTCTCCAAATGAGTGGAAAATTTTTGAGAGGGACCTTAAACAATATATAATCAATCAATCAAACCAATAAATCAATTAATATGTAATAAAACAGACACATACAATTAACTGCTGATCAGTTATACAGAGCATTAATCCCCATACATTTGTATTGTGCCAAACATTCAAGTTTCAACGAGTTTCATCATTTAATCCAGTACTACTTATCAACCCAGCAAGCAACAACTATGCTAGTAACAAGTATAAATATTCAATGATGCAGACAGTGATTATTTAAACTTATCAATTTATCAACTGAAAAGCAATTATACTTCTCATTTCATATCATGCTAATAAGCATTGGTATCTAAGACTGGATTAAGGAAAATCTTACTTCTCTAAACTGTATTATTTTTTCTCCTTTTATAGGGTACAAATATCAACTTTCGTAATATCTTTTCTAAGACTTCCAAAGACCTTGAACCTTATAAAGATGAATAAAATGAAAATTGTTGCATGAACAAATTCATTTTCAAGCTTCATTTTGATGCATTTCAAATTAAACATGTCAAATATTAATTTTTGGAGTTATCCTTCCTGGCTGAGGATCGGATATCCTTAAATAAAGTATTATTATTATTATTATTATTATTATTATTACAATAAGAAAATAATCAAAATGTTTTTCAAGAAAAAGTAGGAGAATGGATCATAGAATTTTATAAACAAAGAACGTAATTAAAAATAATTTCAAATCTAAGAAAAAAATTCCTTTCGACGTGTAGGATGAATATTAAAACAATAAACCATGTGACACAGATTATTTTACCTGGTGAGGGTAGAACTTTACCATAGGTTCAGAGTATTTACACAGATACAGTTTTTAAATATCTTTCAAAACCAAAAATACCCAAAATAATTATTTTTAGATGTATTGCCCAATCAGAAAAACAACATAAATAATTATAAGTCTAAGAAACAGGATATTAAAGATTTGATAATGCAGAACTTATAAAAAGGGGAAGGGGCTTTATGGTCTACTTTATATATAGTTACAGTCGCTATTATAGTTGACGTTATCTGCTTGTAAACCCGACGCACCTTCTTCATAAAAACACTTCCAAAATTATAATCTTTTCACAATAAGCCAATGAATAATAGTCTTTTCTTGGACCCCCAGAACAACTTTTTAGGACAATTTAAATTACATTAAATTAAAGAAAAGTCAAGTGTCCTCTCCACATGCAATTAAATTGGAATCAGTATAAATTCAACCGCAAAAAACATAAGCAAGCCTCTCTGTGACCTCTATCATTTAGTTGTCAAAAAGATAGTCGCCAGTGCAAATATTATTCGCCAGGTAAATTTTTCTTAGACACCAAATGTTAAAACATATTATAGAGACATGTTCATTGCTAAGTTTTAGTACTCTATTCTGCTCTTTATTTTAAAAAAAATGAAAATGTTTCTAGTTCAGCAATTTGACGATCACCAAATCAACTTAATATGGTGGCCAATTTGGCGACTTAATTAAAATTTTAGGCGCCATAGCTACTTCGCCAGTAGAGCTCTGATATGTTAAGTCGAATTCTTCTGATTCTTCTGTAATAAAACGTCGTCCGCGTGGCGCAGTGGTTAGAACGTCTGCTCTGTATGTAGAGTCGCGAAGTCAAGAGTCAATCCTTACGTCACGGGTTCGAATCCTACTGTGGGGCGTGGAGACCGGTCCTTCGGATGACCGAAGTCCCGTGTCGCAATAGGTGCTAGCACAAAAACGATCTTTCCTGCTCAATGACCTTGAGTGCCGAACATAAGACAAATTTTGCAGCTCTCCAAAGGCAAGTGGTGGCGTCTCCAAATGAGTGGAAAATTTTTGAGAGGGACCTTAAACAATATATAATCAATCAATCAAACCAATAAATCAATTAATATGTAATAAAACAGACACATACAATTAACTGCTGATCAGTTATACAGAGCATTAATCCCCATACATTTGTATTGTGCCAAACATTCAAGTTTCAACGAGTTTCATCATTTAATCCAGTACTACTTATCAACCCAGCAAGCAACAACTATGCTAGTAACAAGTATAAATATTCAATGATGCAGACAGTGATTATTTAAACTTATCAATTTATCAACTGAAAAGCAATTATGCCCCCTAGCCCCCCTCCCCCCCCCCCCCCCCCCCCCCCCCCCCCCCCCCCCCCAAATTCCGACGATTATGTTTGTGAAACACTGATGCCCCCGTATGGCAACATAGCAAAGATTATACTTTTCTTAAATGCATACTCATTAGAAATACAATTCTGAAATAAAAAATATGAAAGAAGGCCAGGGTTAAAGTTTTTTTCGTAAATTTGAAAATCTCCAAGGTCAAGTTCAAATATCAAAGTTATTGGTATTCAGTGAAAGGTCTTGCCACAAAAAATACATATGTGAAGTATAGAAGCCCTAGCCTTAACCCTTCAAAAGTTAAGGCCAAGGTTAAACATTTTAAAAGTAAGTCAAACTTCAAGGTCAAGGTGAAAGGGTCAAAGGACTTGCTATCAAATGAAAGAAGTTGTCACAAGGTTTAAATATGTAAAGTATGAAAACGCTAGCTCTAACCCTTTTTAAAAGTAATGGTCAAGGTTTGCTTTTTAAAAGTAGGTCAAACTCCAAAGTCAAGATCAAAGGGTCAAAGTTCTTGGTTTCCAATAAAAGGTCTTCTCACAAGAATTATGTATGTGGCGTATGAAAGCCCTAGCTCATACCGTTCAAAAGTTATGGCCAAAGTTAAAGTTTTTTCATAAGAACAGAAACATAAAAAACAATATGGAAAATGACAGTCTTAATATTGTAGATAATGAAAAACAACCATAAGAATTCAGTTTTCCTTACTGCTTTTTTTTTAACAATTTCTCACAAGATTGTCTAGCAATACAATATTTATTTACATGAAAATACTAACAAATCGCATTATGCATTACATTTATAAAATAAGTATTAAAAAGATTGTTTACAATAAAGTCAATTGCCTGTTGTACTTTTTTTAAGGAAATGACGCAATCTATGAGTTGACAAAGAACAAGAACCAGGAACTCCGGATTGAACTGCAAAGTTTTGATGGCGCTGAAGCATATTCTCAGTACTCCACATTTTATGTTGGAGATAAATACAATAAATACGTACTCACTGTGTCGGGGTATTCAGGAACTGCAGGTAGGTCTACTCATAACGCAGTTTGAAATTTAAATTCTGCTTATAACACCCATTTGACTGGATAGAAAAATTAATTTACATTGTGTAAAGGGTGTTGTTTACCTCACACTTGACTTATATCAAGTAATTTGCTTGATGTCACATGTTTATGTTGCATATTATGAAGACATTTTTGACTGGATATTATCTTAATATTAACATGTAACGATGTTGTGAATATTTTCTCATTAAATTATAGATTATAACAATATCAATACTCTGTTCTAGGTGACAGTTTAAAGTATCACAATGGAATGAAATTTACCACAAAAGACAATGATAATGACAAGAACTGTGCTACACAATATCACGGAGCCTGGTGGTACAAATCCTGTCACCACTCAAACATGAATGGACAATATGCACATTCTGCTGTGTCTGGTGGTAAATACGCGGTATGGCAGGGCTGGAAGGGTAGCGAAGCATTAAAACAGACCATGATGATGATCAGACACAAAAACTAGAGAACGTTTATTATCAGATCTGACATAGATATCATTACAAATCTGATATTTTATTTTGACAAACGAATGACAACTTCATGTTGCTTTCGTATTCACGTATAGATTTTTAGACAATTACAGTAAGTTCCTTCTTCTTCAATATTTCTACCACTGAATTATAGATTTTCTTCCAAGAAACGCATAAATGTTGTTTATAATAAAGGTGGCAGTTATAAGCAATAAAGAAACCTCGAAGCAGACAATGTGTGTAAGTTAATTTTACACTTCATATTTGCATACAAAAATGTCTTTAAAAGTAATATTCATAGTGGATAAATATAGCATAAAATTAGAATTTACTTTTTAGATTAAATCGAACTATTCAAATGTTTGAATTTAATGAAGAAACACTTTGTCAGTTGTTTGATACATATATATTAATTGTTTTAAATTATGGTGGTGAAATTTGGGGTTTCCACAAATCACCCGAAACAGAGTGCATTTATCTTATGTTCTGTAAAAACTTGCTAGGAGTTATATTATCTACATGTAGTTACATGGATTATCGTGAATTAGGTTGGTATCCATAATTCATATCCAGGAAAATCAGAATAATGAAATACTGGTGTAAATAACTTCATACAAATAACTATATATTAAAATCTTCTTGTGACATGACCCGGCGAGTTTTTCTTTGAAGTCAAGCATATTGTAACTGCGATACAGAACACTTTTTGAGGGCGTTTCTTATGCAAATGAACAGAAACTGTACTGTATCTGCAAAATATCAACGATACAGTACGGTTTATTTTTAGCGATGACGGAAAGCTGTATCTGTATACAGACACAACAATCGTTCAATACGCATGATAGAACTGGTAGCATTTACTCAAAATTTGAGATGAATTAAGAGTAAAATTTTACAGGATGAATTTATTAGTGTAGGATTCAAAAATTTTAGAAAGCAGGGAGTTTGGCAGATCACAAATGATTACTTTGAACCCCCCCCCCTCCCGACATAAAATAAAAATAATCAGTGGAAAATCGTATTTCGTGAGGTTAGATTTACAACCAACCAAGACACTATGTGCGTGATATCGTAACCTAGTATATATAAATTAAAAAGCGTATAATGTACACAAGTTTATCAAAAATCATTTACGAAGGTGAAAAAGAAAAAAGGGTGGGATGGAAGGCACAAGTGAGTGCTGGGATCACCTTTGTTTACACTACATTTTATTAAAAACATGTAGGTAAAATACCCCCTCCCCCTTCATTTCATCTGTTTATTTCAATTTTGTTTATGACGACCGGTGGAGGACAATGTCGGACACCTCTCTCAGATTACATTTTCCCCAAAGCATTTTTTTTTCAAAAATATTTCCACATGATTCTTACGTACCTCGTATCAAAATGTATTGATTCAATCGTAGCTTAAAGCTGAAAAAATGTCAGCAAGAGATGAATAGAGAAAAAAATCCTACGCAATGAAATCTACATTTAATTTTTTGGAAAACAAATTATATAATGCATCCCCTAAATAATTATTTCAAATGATAAATACCTGCACGTCCACCTCACTCGACATTTCAGTTGCAAATGCTTAAAATGTGATACTAAATCAACTTTCTGCAAAATCATCTGATTGGTTGAGTGATATGTACCCAAATACGCATGTAAATATGTGAGGTCATTAGAAAGGTCATGTCACAAGACATTTAAAGTACGAGTTTCCTACTGTATCGGAGATACAGGGCGGGGCCCGGCTCGAGCTATCGCTCTCGCCTCAAGCCCCGCCCTGTATCTCCGATACAGTAGGAAACTCGTACTTTAAATATAACTTATGAATATCTATTGCACAATGCAGAAAATAAATTACAATCTAAAATTAATTGGCCAAGGGATGTTAAGATAAATTATTTACAATGGGAAAATTTTTGGTTTAATCAAGATTTTATTAATACAACACAGTTTATATCTTGGACACGGAAAGACTGTTGGATAAAAACCTTCAAGATTGTAATCCTTTTTTTTTTGGAAAATTCAACAAAGTGTCTTTTGTAAAAGCACATTGTGTATGACGTTTTTTTTTCCAAAATCCATACATATTTGACAAAACCTATTTATTCTAAATTAAAGAAAAATATTACAAGAATAAGGCTTTCTTCCTATAACTTAAGTGTAGAAACAGGAAGATATCAGATAATTGATAGAAGCAATAGAATATGTCAAATTTGTAGTGATCACTGTATAGAAGATGAAGACCATTTTTTGCTTGAATGTCCTATTTATGAAACTTTATGAAAAAAGGTATCAAACCATATTATTTCAGATTTCCAGGTATGTACAAGTTTACTCATTACTCAGCTCTCATGATGTCGGGGTTCTTATTGGTTTAGGGAAATTTATTCTCCATGCAAGGGAATTAAGAAATAATGAATAATTTAAGTTATATGTATACATGTATTATATACTATAGTTATTTTTCATTTAATAATATAGAATTTGAAATAAATGTTTTGTGTATTTGTTTTTGGTTTTTTTTTTGTTGTTGTTTCTTTTTTTTTTTTGAGTCAAGCAGATGGACACTAGGGGTTCCAATTCCCCGCAGACTCTCGCCACTCGATCTTTATATTTATTTTTGTTTATATACTGATGAGCCGCATGGCTGAAAGTTATTCAATAAAGAATTAAATAATTTGTGTTCAGGTATTTATAGTACAAGCTTCATCATTTTTCATTAAATGACTTGATAAGGACATGCATATTAATAATTACATGAAGAATCGTGATAATTGTCCATGGACTAAGTTTACGTTTCTTTTATGAAAGCAAGTAAATGTCTCTCCTTTCCAATTAACTTAATAGGTATTAAATCATCCAGAAAGTCCTTAACGTGTCCCAAATAATAATAATATTACTCTTCAGTCTCTTCATAATAATATACTCATTGGTAGGCATATATCTTTATAGTAGAACAAACCAAGATTTCTTCTTTTATCTTTTAATGTGGACACATTTTCCTAAATGTCACCAAGGAATATTGCTTAAACTGCAAGCGTCCTGTGCTGCGCAGTACAAGCAATTCTCTTCTCAATTAGATGGATTGTGTGTATTGTGTATTGTTTAACGTCCCTCTCGATAATTTTTCACTCATATGAAGACGTCAACGTATGCCTGTGAAGGGCTTCAAATTTAGACCTAAACTAGGCACTAAAGGTCACTGAGCAGTGAGGGTTTTTTTTATCGTGCCAGCGCCTACCGTGACACGGGACCTACGTTTTTAAGGTCATTTCCGAAAGACCCGTGACTTTCACTTCTGATGCCGAGCGCTTGGCGAAGAAACAGTCGCTACCTATTTTTACTTCTTAGGTTTTGACGCGGCGCCGCGAACGCGAATCGAACCCGGGCCTCCCGATCACGAAGTGAACGCTCTACCACTAGGCTACCGTGACCGGTAGTAGGCATTATGCGGTCACATCTGTCATTAATCCTATGCATTGATGAAAGTTAATTTGAAAACATATCTTGAATCAAGGGATTTAATCAGATGTCTAACGGTCATTTTTGTATGTAAAATAATTAAATATCGAAGGTTACTGACAATTTGAAGCTTTAGAAGTATTATAGAAGTATTATGTTCTCTTAAGCAAAAAAAAAAAAAAAAAAAATTTACTAACAATTACTATTTCAGTGCTTCATGAGCTGATTACATTGCTAACGCCCATTGTTGCACAACATATAAAGAGCCTCCTTTACTGGAAAAATGGGTATTTAAAAAGTACTATGTTTACTTCTCCCTCTGTTTCTGTACGGAACATTTGGTGATTTCTCTTCAGGTGTTCTACAAGTACTTTGTTTTATTCTTTCTATGTTTGTATATGGAACATTTGGTGATTCATCTTTACTTGAAAACAAAGCTTCTGATAAAAATGGTTTGCTCCCTAGTACTGTATCCGGTAAAGCGTCCAATGTCCTACGTGACATTCTTAATCAGGAAAGTCTGGTCCGCTTCTCTATGGTACAAAAAATACAAAGTCTGGCGATGGATGCCGTGGACAGCAAAAAAGATATACAAGTTATGAAGGCAAAACTTGGTGAAATGTCAATGAACCTACGGAACTTGGAGACGGAAAACCAATTATTGGAGAACGCAATAAAGAAAATGAAGGTTCTAAATGAATCTCAATCAGTCTCTACCAAAAGCCCCCAAATTGAGAAACTCAAAAACCAATTAAATGTAACATTACAGAAGTGCAGTGTGAGCAGTCTTTTGGAACGTTATAAATATACAGAGGACGCTTTGGGAAGATCTGTGAATGAAACTCTGCATGCTGTTTGTAGAGATCTGAATGAATCCAACTGGATCTTGTCAAAAAGTATATTATTACTTTCTGTTTATATTTAGACTGAATTTGAAAGAGAACAATTGGTACAAGGGTTCAAAGTTGAGCTTTCTGCCAAAAAAAGTATAAAATAACAATTATTTTTGCTGATCGAATAATCATGATTGATTTTGGATCACGTATTTACCTTTTAATTTTTTTTTTGTTTTTTTTTTTTTGTTTGTTTTTTTTTTGTTTTTGTTTTTGTTTTCTCGAATAATTATCATTTTATGCATTTAATTCACTCAAAAAGGAATTTTTGATTAAGAGGTCATTATTTAAGTGGTCATTAATTATAATGACCGAGTCATTATGTCCCACGTGCAACGATTCCTAGGTCCTTATTGCTGTAAACAGTACACTTTGGAGTCATTGTTGTGTTTTAAAGTTTTCTTACCAGCCAATCAAATTCGAATATTATCAATAGAGGTATAATAATAAACATTTATTGACTGGTTATCGAGGTCAACATGCGTTTTGTCTGACCAAAGAACCAAGCTAACTTCCATAATACATAAATTTCAGGTTCGTCACTGTTAAATACTAACGGATGCAAATGAGATTAATCTCCGCCCATTGTGTGACGTAAACTGTCCAACATCTCAACGACAAGTCCAAAATTCACTCAGCGGTCAAGGATCGATCTTTTTTTTTATTCCCGCTCCGCAAAACATTACATATGTCAGACTTTTTACGAAAAGATTTGTATAAGAACAAATTTTTAAAGGTATAACAATAACGTGAATAGTCTGATTTACAATAAAGAGTTCGTGTGTAGCTTACATTGAATATTCTTTGACACAGTGCTTTCAAAGGATTGTTTGGACATTTTGCAGAAATACCCAAGTTTAGAAGGAAGGGACGGGGTTTTCAGGATATCCGTGGCCTATGAAGTAAAGTCTGATTATTGTGACATGAGAACTGATGGAGGAGGGTGGACAGTTAGTAAAACTTTTTTATTAAATAAAGAGAATAATTCAGGGAGATTTTTTTTAATTCTACTTACAAAATATAGAAAAGGACGGTACGGTTGGAGCATTATTGTGCCCTAAAAATTTAATGTTCTTAAAAAGTTACGAAATTGGTGTTAACAATAGCTGAGTAGATAAATATAATAAATCAATAAAGAATGTCGCATGAAGGATATGTCGCCTCTTTGGATATATGACGTCATTAATTTGGTACATTTCTAAGTTAGATACAGAAAACCTCAGAATCACTCATTTCTGTGCTAATTTTCCTTTAGGAAATAGTATCTTCCACCGTCGCCCACTTTAATTTTTGGATATATTATGTAAACGGCTATGAAAAATCTCATATCTCAAAATCTTTCTTGGCAACGGTGGAAGAGTATGTTTTCAGAGAGACAATTCCGCAAAAAATTGATGTCTTCTGGAATTTTTTAAAGAAAATACGGGAAAATGCACAAGTTAATGACATCACAATTAGCATTTAGGAGGTAATATTAAAAAAAACGATCTGTGAATTCTTAGTGCAGGGAATTCCTATGATTCAGAAAGAATGAATTTTGATTTCTTATATTACTTTCATATTTTAGAAAAATATAGGGCTTAATTTGTATTGAAACTGTACCTTGTTCTTATAGCTGCTCTCAAGACTTTAATAAATACGTAAACACGTCATAAAT